TTTTCCAGCCAAATGAGCTTGTCGCTCCTGCAGTTGAACTAAGGGAAGAACACCTTGAAGTAGGACAGCCTAGTGTCATGCTCAACGTAAGCATATCCGTTTATTGATTAATTTGTTGCCGCCATTACCTACCGTTCTAGCAGAACCCTCTGACAAGAGATAATGGATCTGAATTTGATGAGCGCACTGAAGAGAAAGTGCTAGCTGGACAAGTGGCATCAATAGTGGATGGTGTAGACAATGTAAGTATGGATACTGCTAGCGAACCTGGACCTTCAACCCCATCACAAACCAAGCAGACGATAAGCAATAGAAAGGTATGGTTAATCTGCATGGAAAGCTTGAATTTTTTTGTCATCTTTTTAAATTGTGCGACTTTTCCATATAAAATGTTTTTAGCGTGAGCTTGATGAAGTGGCTGATTTGCTTGAAGATCTCGATGACCTTGAAGGAGAAATAGTTGAGCTGCAACCCCAACCTTCCAAGCAGATTCGCGAATCTAGCATGGATATTGATCTTCTAAAGGCGAGGAAAAAGACTTAGTATTGATTTTTCGTTTTTCTGTTATTTTTTCGTTATTTAGCGTTACATTTGTTACTTTGTTGTCGTTATCCAAATTACCATAAACAAATTGCTCATGCGCTTCGCCATAACTCTGGTACTAGGCAAGGATTTATTACAATCAGATTAACAAAGTATTCATGTACATAAGAGAGTTCTGTGATTTATTAATGTTGAACATAGAATTACAAGATCCTTCGAGCTCCAGACGTGACCGGTGGAATTGCGGAGGAGCTCAGTGAAGGAGTAGCTGAAGTGCCGACTGCCGGTAACGACGGTAGGCCAGTGCCATCAACAAGAGTTTGAATAGCAGAGTTTACCTAAAGGTTATGTCATTGGCGGTCTCGTTAAAGGCGTTGTTCAGATCAACTTGGGGGTATTGGGATCTTGACACAGTGTGAGAGCATGGGACTTGGACTAACGGACTTGGACTAACGCGACAGTTCAAGTCCGATCGAAAAAGGTGGTATCTGAAGTGAGAAAATCGCTTCGGACGAGTTTGCAAAAAAGGGGG